TGACAAGCAGCACTACATTTTGGTCTCTAAAATAATTTCTGTAAAATAATCCTTGATTAAAGCTGCTATTCCACTTTGAATTTTCATATTTATGAGCTTTCCATTTTTGAAAAAACTAATGTTAAAACTTGTATTCAGGTTTCTCTACAATACTATTATTGCACATAATTAAATGTTTTGCTATAAATGACATTGTTATCACTAGAGAAAGAAATAGTAAAGTTTGTGAATGAGTTAATGAAATTAAAAAAAATCTTACTTAGACTGTGCAGAAAAGTTGGCAGCAGCAAATATAGCAGCTTCCACTTCCACATTATCATGGGAATCCAAACTCTGACGAATACTGTGATGTGCATTCTTCCTTTCTGGAATAATAGATGCCATGCTGCCCAACATCCTACAGAAATAAATCACAGAAAAATCAGGAAGAACGATGTTCAAGAAGAAACGTGAGATGAAACCAAATAGAAATGGAAAATGACTGGTTAAAACACTATTTTTTTCTATAAGTATGTGTGCTCTTCCACACCTATTACAGAAACAAGCAAATGCTAAAAGTAGGCATATAATTAAATGGTGACAAATTTTGTCATGAGGGTTATGTCAGTGGTTTGATAAAAACTTAATTACATTATGATACCTCTTATCTTGAAATTGTACAGTGAGAAACTTACCAAAAATTCTTTTAAAATTAAGAGTGTACTATGGCACCAGGAATAAGCATTTTTGAGATGCTTTTACATTCAAGCTCTGATATTAATACAACAGATTTGATGCTAAAATGTACAGATGGCTATTTTCAGAAACACACAAAGAACACTATGAGATATAAATTAAAAAATGTGGTAGTCTAGGGTGATATAAAAACACATTTAGAGAATTACTAATTTAATTTCTACTTTTTCTATCCCTCTCCCTAATTAAGACTGCAGAAGTAAGTACAGAAGTAAATGTCTGAACAGTCATAAATTTTAACCACAAGCTATGAAAGAGAAGTTTCTACAGTAGTTACTATGATCAAGTAATCAAATATCTGACTTTCATAATTTGTTTCTAAGATCTTTCACTGATGTGGGATAAGGTTATTAGTAGGAATAGTGCAATACCTTTTGTGTAACTGCTAACAAAGTTGCAAGTCAATTTATACTTTGTTATGAAAAGATACCCTTCAGACATATTTAGCATAATCCAGTTAAAAGAAAAAGGAATGCAGGATGGTAACATTGATGGTAATTTTAGCAAGAGTTCTGTGCAAGTATTTACACACACTTATCTAGAAATAAAATTTCACTAAGTTTTGGTTTAGCACATCTTTCTTTCTACCTGTTCTTTCTTACTGACACTATTCAAAGAGGACAAAAACAAATCAATAGAAGATTTTAATCTGAAACTGCTGAACCAACAGCCATTTTGATGTTTCCCTTGATGCATCCTGTGAATTTATTAGTAATTTAAGTATTTTTTCAAACAGACTGGATTCCTGGGACTTCCATCGGTCTGCTAAGATAACTCTCAATGCCAGCCAACAACTGCAAGCATATGTTAGAATGCTACAGTGGAACTACAAGAAAACATGCAGTCCCATTGTATTTAACGATTTCTGAGACCAGAGCATGAAAGCACAATCTCAAAAGAAATATCAAAAGAAAAAAGAAGTGGACATACAAGCTAATCCATCAAACCCATTAATGTCTCCCCATCTTTCAACAGTGAAAGCAGTAACAGTTCTAAATGAAGAGAAAAAAAGAATATAAAGGGAAAAAGAGAAGTGCTCTTCACATTCACATTCACCTGCACAGGGGTTGGAAGATGCACTTAAGATGATGATGTTGAACAGTGCTGGAGACACAGACACCAAAGCAGCAGGACAATGACATTAAAGACAGGTTTATTTTATTTGTTTTCCCATTTGATTCCTAGGAAGTCCAAAGCAATCAACAATACAACAGCACTTCCTTAGAAGTTATTGATCAGACCAACAAGCAGTAAACTTCTAGGACAATGATGAACAAAAAACAGGTGCAAGTATAACAAAGTTCGCATAAGCTTTGGTTACTAGTTAACAAAAATTATTTTGACATGCAAGGAAGCACTTTCCTTTTGGTCCTGGTCTAAATATATCATAGGCAATATATGATATATTGCATATGGTTACTGTCTGGGTTATCCATACAACAAGGTTCAGTTTTCTTCTTGTGAGTACATGAAATTTCAACACTACAAATTCTGTTTTACCTGAAGCCATCCACAAAATTCTCACCATCGTACATGATTAATAACCTTGTTCTTCTGATCACAGATCTTTATCATCCACCCCCTTTAAAGACAGATGTCTTTGCTTTTAACTCCATGAGCAATGTATCAAAAGCCTTCTATATTTCATTCATATAATCGTAGAACAGTTTGGTTTGGAAGGGACCTTAAAGATCATCTGGTTCCAGTGCACCTGACACGGGCAGGAACACCTGCCACTAGACCAGTTTGCTCAAAGCCCCATCCAACCTCACCCTGAACACTTCCAGGGATGAGGCATCCACAGCTTCTCTGGGCAACGTGTTCCAGTGCCTCACCACCCTCCCAGAAAAGAATTTCTTCCTAATATCTAACATAAATCTATTCTTTCAGTTTGAAGCCATTCCTCCTTGTTCTATCACTACGTAGACACCCTTGTGGAAGGTCCCTCACCATCTGTCTTGTAGTTTCCCTTCAGATACCAGAAGGCTGCAAATATGTCATTCCAAAGCCTTCTCTTCTCCAGGCTGAACAACCCCAATTCTCTCACCCTTTCCTTTTAGGGAGGTGCTCCATCCCTCTAATCATCTTGGTGGCCTCCTCTGGACCTTCTCCAACAGGTCAATGTCCTTCCTGTGCTGGGGAACCCACAGCTGGACGCAGTGCAGTGCTCAAAGTGAAGTCTCACCAGAGCAGAGTAGAGGGGCAGCATTCCCTCCCTCAACCTGCTGGCCAGGCTGCTTTGGATGCAGCCCAGGACACGACTGGGTTTCTGGGTTGTCAGTGCACATTGTTGGGTCATGTCCAGCTTCTCATCCACCAGCACCCCCAAGTCCTTCTCGGCAGGGTTGCTCTCACCCCCTTCATTCCCCAGCCTGTGTTGATACCGGTGGTTGCCCCGGCTCAGGTGCAGCACCTTGCACTTGGCCTTGTTCCAGTCAAGTATAATGATAATTAGCTACAGATATGAAGTAAATTAGGATCATTTATGTAATACATACCGGAGTGTAATAGCCCGAGCAACTGGATCATTGCTGTGAATTACCGAGAAAACTCTTTTGACAAATTCATCCACATTTAGGATCTTCTCCAAGTGCTTCTCACTCTGTTGAGTAACTTTCAGCACACACAACCTCAAGAAGTTGTTCCTATTAAAAAATACACAAGTTTCTTTGTCAGGCTATTTTATAACAAAAATTCAAGGTCTTGAAAAAAAAATTATTTTAAAACAACTTCCAAAAGAAAATTAAAACAAGGAGATGTCTACGCTTCAGAAATGTTTGAGTAGACTGATGTAATACAAGAGAGACTATTAGTACACTAGTGTTTTATTTTCTAGTTCTGGTAGTGTCAGATTTAGGCCCAGTTCCAGGGAAAAGAACCAGCTGGCACCAGTGAGGAGGGGTGTAAGCAAATGCCCCTTTTGTGCACACTTAGGGATCCAATTCTTCTAGAAAAACACATCCAAGACTAAGGCAAGAGAACTTAATTGCCCCTGTCGGGTGTGAGTGAATTTCTTTCCCTTCTTGCAGACAGCAGTGAAGATTTCACATCAACATTTAACTTTGTAACTTATTCCAAAGTAGCTCCAATTCCATTAGATACATCACTTAGACAGCAGACACATGGAAAAGCTATACTTTGAGCTTTGTTATTAATATTGCATGACTTAGAGACAAAATTTGCACACGTGCCCATTCATCTTTCTATGAATTACAAATCTGAATGTGCCTGTGAAGCAGATCTTACACCAGTGAACTTATATCAGTCAGGAAGGGAATCCTCAAATCAGGACAGATGGGGAAAGCAAACTTCAATCGAGCACAGTCTGCCCCCAAGAGCGAGTCCTACCGACCGGAGATCTGAATGGAGAGAAACTCACCGATGGCACTTACCCCACTCTGAAGACATCAGCCAGCTTTAGGAACGCCGAATTGATTAGAATAGGGAAGGGATATTTCTGGAAGAGCCTGGGAAAGCGAACGACGGCTTCGCACTGCTCCCCCAGTTTTCCAGACCTGAGGCCTAAGCGAGACAACAGGAATTACCGCAGGTACCTCCAGATCCAGATCCTCCCTCCGCCCTCGCTGTGGACAAAGTGGCACAGCGCCAAGCTCCCACGCCGGCCCTGCGACAACCCCGAGCCCGCGCGGCCTCACCTTTGTCCAGCTCCATCAGTGCGGAGTT